ATTGTATGTATGTACATGCACTGTGTATTCTGGGAAAATCTTTCGACAGTTATTGTGATCAGGATTCTGGTTAATATTATTATTATATTCTTATTAACTTTCACGATCCATAATTATGTGCGTACGTTCTTAATAAAGGCATCTTCGATATGTATATATATAAATATATATGCATGTATTTTTATTTTTGTAAAAATTTTATAGACTTTTTTACAATGTTTTATTGTACTAAAACGGGTTTTAACAATTTTGTTATTTATAAATTCCATTTATGAAAAAGCTTGCATCAACAATAAAGCAATGTCCAACTATATTTATTGAATAATAATATTGAATTTTAGCAATTACCGTTAATTTCTGTTATTAATATATACGTTTTACATATATATTAATAACTGAAATATCAATATAGAAAATGAGCCGTGATAGCTCAGTGTCCAGGCGCTCGCATTTAATTCAACATACTCGGGCAACCTGAGTTCGATCCCCGGTGCCGGCACCAATGAAGTTTTTAACTATGTGCTGACTTATCACGTGCTCCGCGGTGAAGGAAAACATCGTGATGAAACCTGCATATTTTCGAGTTAATAACAAAAAAAAAATTCGAAGATATGTGAAGTCCGCCAATCCGCAATTGACTGATACCCTCTGTATAGAGGAGGCCTTTGCCCAGCAGTAGGACATGTATAGGCTGTTACTTTACTTTTACTGAAATATATATTTATAACTGAATAATTATATATACGTTATTATAATATTATACGTTTAGTTCGATGAAACCTATTTTTTAATAAGTTATAAAAGATACAATATTTATTATTGTAATCATCTTTAATTTCAAATTCTGTATTATACGTTCCTTTCTAAGAAACCTATTTTTTCTTAATTATTATGGAACTTATATAAAAGAAACTAAAGTACTATTTATACTTTTTTAATAAAGTTTGTTCTATGCAAGTGACGTCTTTGCTTTAATTTAACTTTATTATTATCTTATATATTAAGACGTCAAGCAAAAACTTTGTACCCCTTTTTACAAAAAATGCGCTGAAGATTTTGAAATTTCCCACACTTATAGTTTACATGGATAAGGAGTGCAGAATGCTAATATTTTTTTTTTACTTATGCATTAAATAACAACACCATACTGAAACTGAAAATTTTTTTTGAACTTAGGTCAAAACTTCGGCCTTGTTAGTACCTTTCAACAGCGGTCACGATAGTTCGTGTCCGTTGTTGAATGGTTTCACGAATAAACTTCGAAGATTTCACCTAAGAAATAAGTAAACCATTCTGAAAATGATTCGTCATATTATTTCAAATTTAAATGGTGTTTACTTTTCTTAGTTTATTTTATTATATAACACCGAAGAGTAATGTAAGTAATTTATAATTTTAAGTCATTGTAGTATTGTAGATATGATATTAAAGATTACTAAATCTTTCTACGTTCGTAAAACCTTAAAGCACTTAGCGAAATTCTTTAGAGGCTTCAACATAGTGTCAAGAATGCTTTCTTCTAAGCAACCACTTGAATGGCGATCAAGTGCAATTAAAACATTTCAAAGATTTAACAGTTTGAAGGGTTTTTTTAATGTTCACTTAATTAAAATTACATTTCTTTATGTGTAGTATTTATGTAAACAAAAATAACAATTTAATCTTCAAACCTTACCTTCTTAGTACTTAACATTGCTTAAATAATCATTACAAATCAATACAAAATGTATTTCATCATTACATAACTATAAAAATATCTCTCAAGATTAACACTTGTTTGATAATAGTTCTATAATACAATTTTCTTTTTAATTAAAAGATTTCAGCTTACTTGTTTTTCAGGAAACGTGTCTTAAAAATTTTGGAATAAAAGAAGTGCGAGGTTGGACTAACTAACTTATTTTATCTTCTGCATATGGCAAAGCCGTGAAGGAAAACATCGTGAGGAACCATGCAAATTTTATTAATAATATATTTCGAAGATATTTAAAGTCTACCAATCCACAGTGAGGTCAGGTAACTCTGCCCTTCCCTTCTCTGACCTTCTATACAAAGGAGGCCTTGTCTAGCAGTGGCACATATGAATACATAGGCTGTTACTTAACATTTTTAACCCATAGTTATAACTTTTGCAACATATACACAAATGAACATTTTTTTTTCTCCCTTCCTCAATAGAACCAATAAATGCTTTTAAATCCCGTAGAAAGACTTGCCATTACCATGAAATGGTTCCTACACGGCAAATATTTATCACCAGTACATCAACCTCCCCGAATTCCTGTCATAATCAATCAATCCTAACGACGAAACTTGGCGGAAACGCGCTAGCTAGGAACAATTTAGATCGTAACATGGCTCCCATGAAAAAGCAGTTGGACAACTTCCATATTATATGAGTGATATATTAAAGCGTTGTGTCATAAGTAACTTTGATATGTAGATAATATAAATCACAATGGTAAATTTCCATAAAATTTGTTTTAAATAATTTTACTACTATAATTTTTATATTTTATTACTATAATTTTTATATTTGGTAAAAAAAGCAATGATGCTTGAATGCTTTTTTTACCATAATTTGTGGCGCTATCTGTCCTATCCTATCCTGCATCTTCAGTGATACATATAACTAATCATAGAAACAATTATTATTCACAATAACTCCTTAAAAACTTCCGTCACAGTTTACCTAGTATATATATATATATATATATATATATATATATATATATATATATATATATATATATATATATATATATATATATACACAACACTATGTTTGGAAAAAAATCATTTTGATTATTTATTAGTCAGTAAAACAACCATAGCATTCTATAGCCCAACCATGTTACAGTGTAAAAAAGGCTTTTTAAGGTTTAATATGCGATGTATCTATCGTTCCTTTGAATAAGCATTATTTTACGTAAAAGCAAGCTATCACTGCTTACTTACGGAACAGTTAGTAACAAGACAAACAATGGTTGTGGAGCATGACTAACAATTACACATAGTCAGTTGTCGAGTCTGTTTATACATTTTCAAGAAGACACTATACAGAGACGTGAATATTTAGCATCTCATTTACGAAATTAAATTAAATGTTTACGTTTTCTATAAGATTTTGTGACACCGAATAGAAAGTTCTATGTTCGTTGCATTAAATTATTCATTTGTTTTGACAATACCAGAGGATACACTCATCCTATTAAAATTTTCATATTACATTTTGTAAAGACATTATCTAACGTCGGATAAGATAATCATGTGTTATAGATAATCTTTATTATACGCAAATTGAATCGGGGCAAACAGCAAAGTCCAAAAATATTTCCGGTGGGTATCAACCGGTAAGGTTATAAAAAACGTTTTTATTAAATACATGTGTTATACGTTTATAAACGCTCAAACTTAGATTTAGAAGGGACTTAGACCTTAAGTCTATGATTCAAAGTAATATAACGACGCTGACAAGTTGAATTGGTACAGGATGAATATATTACATACCCACACAAGGACACAAAATATGTACACAAACATTCACACATTATTTTAATGTTTACTACATTATTTGTTTTACACTGTTTAAATTGCTTTTAAAGTTTTTACTTGTTTTTAACTGTAACTAGTTTTTAAAAGGGCTATAGAGCCTCAAATGATTTATGTCTTTGTATTGTATTTAAGTAAGTTCATTTTATTTTATATCATATTATCATACTTGTGGAAGGTGAAACGAAACTGTTTCCTTGCTCCGTGAATTTTTTAATGATGGTCTTAAATACTGTGGTCCACCATGAGCTCGTTGAGGCAACCGCGCAGTAATGATCCCAACCGCGTAGCGAACTGGAACCCAATTTTTTGTTCTCATAGCAAAAAAAAACTTGATATACTTCAAACGTAGTTCACGCGACTTCTTTTAATATTTTCACCATATATAGTGTTCAGCTATTATAATATAAGTTTTCTGTACGCCATTTAAAATTTCTTCTTACAGAAATTCTTTACTTTACGTTATTGCTATGAAAATTTTTCCTCGAAGTAAAATAAACGTAGCGCGCAATCTTAACTTCTTGTTGATTGATTGACAACACATTATTCCTCACGTCCCCCGACTTACGTACAAGCCTTGGAATTAACAAGAAACATCAAAGGCAACAGCGCGGAGTTATTAAGAAAGCAAATAAAATTCTGTGTTCGTCTTCATTTTTGTACCAGAGTATTTTGTCAAAATAGTAAATAATGACGGTATATTTATTATAAATGTGGAGGGTAAGTGCGCAGCAATAATAAAGACAGTTAGCATGTGAATCTCGGTGTTTCATTACGTGTTCCCCGTACTCGACATGGCGCAGTCGGTAGGATACCATAATTAATTATACTCTTAAAGTTGAAATTTTCGGTGAAATAAAAGAATAAAGAAAAGATACGAAAATAATCTCTGAAAAGATACGAAAAGAACGCCATTGGAATATATAAAATGGAATATATATAATTGGAATATATAAATATTTATCTAAATAAAATTGATTTTATGTAGCCATTCCGATATGATTTTCGTAATGGCTGGATACAAGAAGTAGTTTTTGATTTACATAAACAATCGTGAGTTCGATTATCCTAAAACTGCGAATTAAACCATTTATGTTTTATTAATGCAGCTTTTTTAAAACTTTTTAAGCGTTGAAGAAATTTATACGCGCTTAATGTGGTTAAACATATCATAGCGCTACAATGGCACCAGGTTATCCGGTAGCTATATCTTATATATAATTTGAATAGCAAATGCCAATTTTAAGCTGCACAATACCTATTGAATATCTCGACCGTATCTCAAAATTAAAAAAGGTTACAATTAAAACACTGCAAATGTTTGATTTCAAATTTATTTCAACTTTAAAAGAATGACACTACATATCACCTGTCTTACAAACAATTTAATTGCTTAAAACATAACTTCAATTCAAATAAGTATATTTACAATATTGAACATTACCCTAGTTGCGATATAGTAGGCTCGTCAACCAGTCCGGTCGCGGCTGCTGCGGCTTATATTCAGGTGGACTCATTGTCAACGGTGACGCGGCGTCAGCTAGTGCCACTGATGACGAGGTTTCCGTTACCGCTATACTAGGCTTTCCCCTTAAAACCGTTCTCATCTCTTCACTTTCCGCCGCTCTCGTCCTTTGTAAATTTTCCCTAGTCTCCTTCATTTTCGACAGTTGTTCTCTCAAGCAGCGATATTCCTCAAGGAACTTTTCGAGCTGTGACGCGCGGAAATCGAATTCCTCTAAACGTTGGCCGGCACGTGAGTAATCTCGTAAACCCGATAGATCTAACAGCGGAGTGGCGGACGGAAGGGTTGATTGTTCTCTCGACGGTGACGCCGGCAGGCTAGGATTACGACGGAAGCGATTACCGCCGGCCGAAAGATCTAAAAAACTACTAGAACGACGTCCCGCTGCCCTTTGACGAGATTTGTCGTAGTTTCTATCGTTAAAATTTATAGAATCACCCTCGGAACTATTCCTCCGACTACTCAAAAGCGGACTGCGGCTATCTCCTTCTTTCCTCCGCGGAATCGTGTAAAAGTAATAAGGGTCGTGTTTTATTTCATTGCGTAAATAGCTTGTTGTGCTTAGAGCGCTCATTTCTATGAGATCTGGATAATTTTTCTCACTGTCACTTCCAGAAAGGTCATTATCTAAACGATCGCGAGTCCGTGGCCGAGGACAAGGGCGAGAGTTGTTGTTGAAACGGTTGCTTTCGGATAAAATCTGTACGTGACCGCTTAGCACCCCCGTCGAGTTGGAGCTTGGCATCGAATCGGTGCCATCGGTTCTGGAAATAAAGAAATACCGTTATATTTTCTCAATTGGCTGATAAATAAAATCATTTCTCATTGTAAACTTTTTAAAGACTTAGTAACGGGAACAAAAAGTGTCACTCCGTAATGAAATATTACACAGAACAGGTTTAAATTTCATTTGTAATGAAAGATGGAAAATGAAAGTTAACCATCATTTAGTAAACATAAATGAAATATAATAAATGATTTTCCTTCTTTGTACTCCGTTATTTAAAGCTCGCAGGTATTTAATCCACATTGGTTGTACAACACAACGACTAGTTATAATACTTTTCAACAAGCTAAGCCTTAAACCTGACATACTCGTATGATGGCTCGTCGGCGTATATCGAGAAAAATATGAAATCGCTATTACTGCTGTTTAGATATTGCTATTTAGTTTATGAACGGACTGGAACTTTATACTACAAAATATCGTTAAAAATTGCAATTATTTTTAACAAAAAAAATGTTTAGGTTAAATAATTCTAATAATACCTTATGTTGTAACTGCTCATCCGTGGAATATGCAAATCTTGTTCGGCATCCCCATTTGTTCTCCTCAGTGGTTCAAACTGGGACCGACGCCAGTTAGACTCCGAAGGTGACGTAACTGTGTCGCGATCTTCCCGTAATCCTTGTCCGTAGTTGTCAATATCTTCTTCGGGATCATGAGAAGGGACATTCCTATAATCTCCCCTTTTTCGATTACCATTTTCTGAGGTAACCACTCGAGGTATTTCCGATAAACTTTTAAAACTAGCATCAATTTTTTCATAATTATTATCATGATGGTTAGGAGTCACAATTTGTTCATTCCATCTGTCCAATTGTCTTTTTTTACGAGTTTCATAAGCACATAGTCCTATTAAACAAGAACTTAACACTATCACTGCCGACACAGCCATTCCCGCCATTAGAGCGCGCCCTCCAAAACCTTTGGTGTGAGACTTTTTTTCTATTATTAAGTTCAAAGTCACTTCAGATTTCCCAGCACGATTTTCTGCACTACACGTGTAAAAACCTGCGTCTTGCATATCTGTTGATCTTATAGTCAAATTGCTTGTCTGACCTTCACTACGTAGAATGAAGCTCCTTCCAGAGTTGACATTTGTTGTATTGGCAAGTACACGTCCACCTCGGATCCAACGCACTCTTAGTGCTGGTATTCCTGTCACTTGACATATCAATGTAACATCTTCACCTTCAATACCTTTGAAAGTAGTTGATGTCCCTTTTACTTCAGGAACGCAAGCAAAATCTTCTAGGTCTAGCCGATCCCAAGGTTGGGACATTAAACGAGGTGGTAGCGCGCATTCTGGCACTACTGTTGCAGGTACATTACGTCGTATCATCCAATCACGCATCGGTCTCAAGGCGCATGAACATTCCCAAGGATTGCTGGCAAGTTCTAAGCCTTTTAGAGATCGTAACGGTGCCAAAACAGCGACATGAAGGTTTTGCAACTTATTTTTACTTAGTTCTAGATACTCTAAGGATGCCTCTAATCCAATAAAACCACGTGGCTCTATTTCCGATATTTTACACGCACTGAGCGTCAACCTCACAAGGTGTGGGAGAGCTGTAAATGCGTCGTCCTTAATTTTTGTAATTGGATTCCCATTCAGTCTTAATTCCCGAAGCTCGGGTATCGAGGCGAAAGTATGTGAAGGTAGATTTTCTAAACGGTTACGAGAAAGGTCAAGTTCTACTAAGTTCACAAGAGCACGGAACGCGAACTGTCGAATCGTTCGTATATTGCAGGCTGGTAAATATAAGCGCTGCAGATTCAACAGACCAGCCGCTGCAAAGGCATCGTCTCTGATATTGGGCAGGCGGTTCTCAGAGAGATCTAGCAGTTGTGTCGTGGGATCAAGACGAGGAGGTACGGCTGTAAGGCCCGCGCGGGCGCAGAGGGCCGATTCCTTTCCGCTACGCCATTTGCACTCGCAATGGCGTGGACACTCAGCGCTGATGGCCGCCGCCGACAAAAGCATCAACAGCACCAACATAACACGCGCTAGATCACCCTGCGCCACTCCTTTCGTCTTGACTACAAAGCGTCATACCCTATGTTGCAATGTTCCTGTTAAATCAAAAAAAAGAAAATGTTTTATAAGAACCCAATGTAACTTTTAACTTAAACAAACATAAATTTATCATTAACACACGTATACATTTATTTAGAAAATCTTTTTCAGCTTGAAATTTATCTTCTAATTTTGTCAATTGAGTTTAATTTTCAGTTCGTATTTTCCTCCCGTAATGGTCCTCTAATTTACACCAACAATTTAATATATACATATAAAAAATAATGCTACTATTATTAACGACAATAAAATTTTAAACACAAACTGTTGTTTTATCTCAATTCGCCTCGTTGTTTCTCGGTGACTTTTACTACACTCACAGGATTTGCAATGAGGAATTTTATTATATTATTGTAATTAAACTACTTAATTAAGACTAGGTATATTACTATAATATTTAACTTGTATATATTTGACCGTGGTAGGGCCACGCAACGGTCTCCTCCTCCTCCTCATAGAAGACTGAAGATGTGAAGTGAAGTTTTTATGTATCTGCTTTTCGTCTGGTAACTGAGGTAACCGGGGCCCACTTTATTATGAACTTTATTATGCGACCCTACGGATGTTGCAAATGTCTGTGTGTGGCAGTTATCACTTAACATCCGATGAACCGCCAGCTCGCTGGCCACCTTCTCACATAAAAAAAAGTAATGGTTATAAAACTCACCTCAAATTTTTATTTTGGCTACCATAGATGAAGCCCTCGTGAACTGGAAAAAAAAACAAAATGTATCAGCTCTGTATGTACTGTTCTTATTCTCGACTTATTAATGGTACAGGATATCATAGCTCAAAGAAAAACAGGCTAAACAGGCTCTTTATTTAACAGCAAACTTCCTTCCTTACTTCCGTTCATTAGCATGATTTAAAAAAATATTTAATACGATAAAAAAATCTTTAAAGAAATTAAGTTGAAAAGGGTCATTTTGTGCATACAACGGTAAGTATAATTATATAAACGAGTTATTTAATGTTATGTATGTTACACAAACTTTGTTCGGTTATGTATTATACACGGTCATTACATGAAAACATAAAGGTTAAAGTTGTTTTTTTTTTTCGTGGTTTTATACATCTTCTTATGAATTAAGAATTTCAAATTATTAGTATTCTCTTATTTTTGGACAACAATGAAACGTACACAATAAAACAAAGTTCTTGCGCCCTCCCTCTTCGAACAAAGTAATAAGAGCTCTACCAAACCGCAGCGACATAATAAATCTTCAAGTTAATAAAGTAAGTTCAGCCTTGTCTGCGTTGCTATATTTTTTTATTAAGACAACATTTGCGTGAGGCTACGAAAACACGGGTCATTCGCCGTGTAATTGTAGGGCACCCCTTTTGTATCACGCAATTGCGTGTTGCCTATATCACGCACACAGCCATTTCAATGTAAAAATTATTCAAAATAATTTCCTGTATAATAATTACTAACGAAGATAGATTAAAATTACATAAAATTTTGTAATTATTCTCAACTGCCTTATCCATGAACTCACTTGTTGTCATTCTATTGGTTGATCTTTTATCACCTGGTTAATTTAGTTCACAAAAGTCAATTACGATGAAAATACATTTGATTTAAAAGATTCCCGTTGTAATATTTCTTTATTTTATTTTCCATTTAACTTGATGATCTTAAGTCTGGATAAGACCTTAACCCTAGCATTTCAAAGAAACAATTTCAATGCTATGTTTATTGGTGTATTTATTTTATAACTTCTGATTTTATACATTATTAGATATAATCATATTATTCATGAGATAAAAAGACCTTGATCTGTCTTTAGATCATAATTGTAACAAACCAATTTTACAAAAATGCATGTTTCTCGCACTAATATTTCATAGAAAATTTTTACAATGTTACTGTTTCGACCTCCTCACTGTTTGAATAATACGTTACGTTAAAAATATAATAATAAAACTATTTATATAACTGAGAGTAAGGCTTTTGTTTTCGCGATGAAACTCATTTAATATTAGAAAGTTTTTAAACACTAATTTAAATGGATAGTAGCACAAACGAGCAGATCATCTGTTGGTAAATGATCACCATTTTCTAAGAGTACCTATAAATGCATCAACACTGCACAGGCGGCATCTAGTTAAGTACAAGCATGTCCGTGGGAAATAGGTGCTTATGCTACCTCTTTTGCTGTAAAATCCACATTACATTCGAGGATAAAATGTGCAGACTTCTCTTTCCTTAAAGATATGAACTCTTAATAGCAAATCACTTACTTATAAAGGCATGTATATATAACTCACGTAATAAATTTCCGAATAAACGATAACGTTACGCAGAATATTCGTAATCCCATTTTGACGTAATCTTTTCCTGGGATTCCATTTTTACTTTGATGCTCAGGATGCTATTCAATTTAAACGTAAATGTTGAAATAGATTCAATTTCGAATTGGTTGTGTTCGCTGGAGATTGAAATATCCTTCTAAATCTGGAATACCTCAAAAGGTAAGCGGAGGTTGAAGAAATCGTAATTATATGATGTGCAACAGGTATTGACATGCTTCCCTAACTTCAGCAAGAAAATAAGAAATTGCGGAATACAAATAAAAATATGTATTGAAGGATTTATATAATCTTAAAGCGAACTTAAATCCCTTTAAATATTCTTTCTACAACTATCATGAACTTTACGTTAAAAAGATGTTAGCTTTCTTTGAAATCTTATAAATAAACGTATTGTTTGTTATGGGTATTTCAGAAATTTTTATTAATACATAAACGATCAACTGTGGAATATTTTTCAGATAAATGTTCTGTCCCATTTTACTAGAAAAACTTCATCCGTCTTAACTTTAAACAACACCGCGCTTGGTACTAAAGTAGAAAAGATTCTCCGCAGTCTTTCCACTGCGATTTTTCGAAATTCGAATGACGTACATTTGGAATGCTTATGAGATACAGATACAAGAATTATATGCAGCGACTGTGACTTGGATTATGCAGTACTCCGCGTCTCTGACATCTAGTTAAACTAAGTTATTATTCTGACCTACATTTGCGCCCGGTGCTCTATGTCATAGGATACGTCTAGCCGTTGAATTGAAAAATGAAAAATTCAAAACAGATATTCCGACTATGTTTTAAATCTTACATGAACGGCAGTTAATAAGAATATATTAAAAGAGTATTCTACATCTTGAACAAAAACTTTCTAACTCATTTGTCTCAGATTATTTTTATATGGCACTGCTATAATGAAAATATAAGAGGATAGTAAATTTCACGAACGTTTTCATTATTTAAAAAAATAATAACTAAAGATGATCCAAAAAGCTAATACGTTCCTTTCAAGTTGTTACTAAAGAAGCAGGTGTGTTCTTCTGGCTTTTAGAGAATTATTCACGATTTCACAAAGGTACCACATGATACCTTGTAACACTTTCATAATAAACGAACTTTGAGAGGTATGTTTTGAGCACGATTCATAGGGTAAAAAAATATCGAAGCTGCATATAAAATGTTGTAACATAAATTATATAAAGCTATATATAAAATTTATGAGAATTTTAAAAATTTAATTTCTGTGTATGCTAGCGAAAATATCAAGATTTTATATAAAAAATACAAATTACCAAATTAATCTTTGAGCAAAAGTAAAGTCTCATCGTTTTTAAGGTTAATCTAAACTGCTCAATATTGGTTGGTTAACGTTAAAGTTACGACAAAATCGCTGTCCAACTTGTCGAATAAAGTTGTTCTCTTTCATCGTTGAAAGTCTTTGAGTTTTATATTCTGAGTGATTTTGCTGCTATAACAAATTCTATGGTTAACTGAATCTAGTGCCGTCGACGAAAGTAGCAGCTCAACAGAGGATTACTTTGGACTCGGAAAGAGGAAAGTTTATAATGCTGGAATCAAACGGTTCGCTACTTGTGACGAACATCTCTTACGAAGCCTTGGTTTTACATCTGAAATAAACGTACTTAAATGGCAAAACATATAGGGCGTTAAAAAATACAAATCCTCGGTCTGCATCTCTTTATACACATCAAAATTATTTATCTTAAGCTATCTTCAGTTTACTTTTAAAATTCAAATTAAAAGTCTATTCTCAAATTTCATGGGAGTGCAAAAATAAAAGAAGTCATACATGTTTAAATTCCGCTGTAACTTATACCATATATAAAAGTTTAGACACTTCAACGTAAGCGACTATTACAATTCAAGAAATTACTCACTTTCTTTAGTAAGTATTCACATTAAGATTACAAAGTAGGATGTATGTTACATATAATAATTAGAATGATAACAGATTAAAGGAACCTCAGGATATTTTGAACGACAGGATATTTTGATATGAACTCTTTACATATCATTAATTTGTTATGGTAATAAAAAAAAACTTGAACTTAGTTTAAATATTGTATAATACTAAATGTTTTAAAAATACGTATGAGAATGTCTTATTTTAAAAATATTTGTATAATATTTTATTTATTATTTATTTATTCTTTAATGCAATTACCTTAAGATAGGATTAAAAAGGGCGAACTTAAAATGCCTTTTGTCATTCCTTCCCAACCAACTCAGGGTGTCGTGAGAAATCGTGGTATAATGTATGGATGGACGATTATCCTACTTTATTGCACACCACAAATAAAACAAACAAAAATTAAAAACTTAATGTTTAAGTGATGGGTACAATGGGCGGCCTTATTTCTAAGAGTAATTTCTTCCAGGCAACCCTTGGTGTTAGGTGCAATAATTATATTAATTATTTATGTGTATTGACAATATACAATATATAAACGCATATAAACATAGAAACAATATTTTCTCAACTTCTAAGATTTATTTCATAAGAATGTTAGTTATACTGAAGTACAAATACTTAATTTCCTGTGTCAGTAAGGCGAACAATATTCTCCAACTAAATAATTCACTATGTTTCA